TCAATTGTTTTTGTTGGAGTATTGTTTCATGTCTATCATTGTTTTTTGGCAATCGTATGATGTGATCTTGTATATTTGATTGTACCCTTTGTTGATGCTTGATTGGGCTTTGATGAGCCTCAATCCTCTTGATAATGACTATGCGTAACTATGAATGAGATTGGTGGTAATATTGTTTAAGCCTTGGTCACGAGATCAGTGGTAATATTGTGTTATTTAATGGTACCCTCGTGTACTGAGAGATCAGTGGTAATACTATGAGATTGGTGGTAAAGATTGGTGGGGGACGACGGTCCCAGGCTGAATAAGGTTGGACTCAGAAGTAAAGGGTGACACTTGGAGGTAACGGTTGGAACTGAAACAAGGCCGGGGGTAGCCATAAGGTTGGAACAGGGCATAAGGTTGGAACGTGAAACTTGTCATTATGTGATTGTTGTGTTTATTTCTTATGAGCATGTCTGTTGGGAACTCTACCATTATGGTAGGTTGTGGTCCTTGTTGAGTATGTTGATTGTGGTTCTCGTTGAGTATGTTGATTGTGGTCCTTATTGACTTGTGTATTGTGGTCGTTAGTCTTTGTTGAGAGTGTGGGTTGTGTTCCTTGACGTTTCCTTCTTTTGGCTTTGAAATGATATATACTGTATTCCCTTGTCTCAAATGGTTTTGAATATATCTATATGTTGGTCCCAAAAGAGGTAAGGTGAAAGTCTAGAGGGGGGGGGGGGGGGGGTGAATAGACTTTCAAACTTTTTCGCACAGCACAACAATTGCTAAGACAGAGATAAACCAAAACTCTTAACTAGATTGTTAGAGTATGGTGCACAGCGGAAATAAATAAACATAAAGTGTGTGTGAGATTGTGTGAGCAGTATATCTTCGTGAGAGCATATATGTAAAGAGCGGTATGTAAAGAAAGCAGTAAAGAACACAAGACAATTATAGTGGTTCGCGAGGTGGTGTAATCCTCCTACTCCACTTGCTCTTTTCTCCAAGAGCCAATTCACTATATCTACCACTCCTTGGTTCCAAGATACAATGAATTTCCGTGATCTAGTGCTTTGATCACAAAGCCCGCACTAATCACGCCCAGTGACACCACACTGCTGCTTCGGGTTTCACGTCGCCGCGCTACTATCCCAGGATTTCACGACTCGCGTTACTTTCCCCCCGTCTTCCACACTCGGTAGAAACGTATCCCGTGATCTGGTGCTTTGATCACCAAGCCCACACCAATCACGCCCAGTGCCTCCGACACTGCTGCTTCGGATCTCATAGCTCCGTGTGACAATCCAGGATTTCACAGCTCCGTGCTACTTTCCTCCCTTCTCTTGTTTTGCTCCAAAACAAGTGTTGTCTTGCTTCCAACTTCTGAGACTCTGTAGATGATCTTCAATGATGCGCAGGTCTCTTTGATGAAGATAAACACTCTGGAATGATTTCTCTTGACAGCTCTGAGTGTTTTCTCTCTTTGAATATATCAAGTAAAGCACTTGATATTTTTGCTCTGCTTAAGAACTCTCTAAATATTTTTCTCTTGAAGCTCTCTGAGTTCTTTTTCTCACACTTGAAGATTTTAGCTCTTTTAAGCTTAATTGCTCTATTCGATCCTTTGATGGATTCGAATTTTCTGCTCTCTTATTTTTGAGTTCGTTGTATGCTCTTATGCTCTTATTTACTGCTCTGTGTTTTTTCAAAGTCTTCACATCTTCATCATTTTATAGCTGGTGATGAGAATTCGTCCGTTGGAAAGAGACGCTCCTATGTCAGAGATCTTATCTTATCTTCTGCAAAAATGTCAGAAAGAGATAAGCTAGCCGTTTGAAAGATCTTCATCTCCATGTAAATGAGCTCCCAAACTTCATCTGATATTCCTCTGTTTTAACGTTGAATGGAAATATCTGGGTCTTAGTTTTGGTGTAGAGTGGCTTCTCTGATTAGCTCTGAAGTGGTCCTTGTATCTCTGGGATTCAAAAATAATCTTTATTTAATCCCATACTAGTTAGACTAGTATTTTCCTTGTGAGAATATTTTTCACTGTAAGTTCTGCTTCATCTTCTTCATTCTCACGTCTGGGTGTTCTCAGACTTCAAACTGGCTTTGAACTTCCACCCAATTTGAATTTCTCCTTTGTAATTGACACCCAATTTCAATTGGCTTGTAATTGGCACCCAAATTGAATTTCTCCTTTGTAATTGGCTCCAATTGACTTTGACTTGCAAAATTTCAATTGGCTTGTAATTGGCACCCAAATTGAATTTCTCCTTTGTAATTGGCTCCCAATTGACTTTGACTTGCAATTGGCTCCCAACATCTCCTGTGCTTCAATTACTTCTCAATGTTGACTTCAAAATTGGACTTCTCTTTGAATTCATCTCAATTCAATTGCTCCTCAATGTCTTCTTTTAATTGGTCCCCAATCTGAATTGCATGTC